CTTGGCCCATAGTGCACTGGCGGGGTGATCCGCCAGCCACGGGAGTCCTCTCCAGCACAGATCCGAGGTCAAAAGCTCGGCCGGAGAGATACCTCATCTAGCCAGGACCGCAGGATTGCTGGAGGAGGTGACGTGTCGCCAGTTCTGTGGTGGCATGTTGGATTGAATCGTCGCAACCCGGTGGGCGACAAACGGTTTCCAAAGTGACGCATGCCCCCGAATCCAATGCAGCGAAACACTGGAGCCTGTCCAGGCCGTTAGCATTGCCGGTATGTTAAGGCCTTCGTTTACTTTTGTCAATAGTTTCGAGAGAAGCACAGCATCGCACAATTCTAGTCTTGGGATACTTACCGTCTTGACCGGGACCACCTTGGTTTTGGCCACGAGAAGAGTAGTGGTGACTAGCTCTCCTTCTCTTACCCTCAGGTAGACTGTTGCAGCGTAGGCCTTCTGGGATGCGTCGCAGAATTCGTGAAGCTCGATCCTCTACATTCCGCTCGAGAAGTGTGTCCACCGGGGAATCGTCAGCGAGTCGAGGTGTGGGTGAGTGATTGTCTGAAGGCGCACCACGAAGCCTGTATTTCCTTGGGTAAGTTTTCGTCCCAACCAGCGTCGAGTATCCAAAGGTCTTGCATCAGGATCTTGGCGTAGATTAAGACCGGTGCCACTCAGCCTAAGGGGTGGAAGGGACTGGCCACCTCAGAGAGAATCCGGCGTGTGGTGTAGGTGACCGGCTCGTCTACCGACGGCAGAACTCGGAGCGAGGTGTTGGTTCGTGGGCTCCAAAAAACCCCCAAAGTACTAACACCCTCGAAGTCCTGAAACAGACGAGAATCTGCGGCATCTTTGTCTTGAAGCTCTGGTGAGTTAGAGGCCCATTTGCTGAGATCAAAGCCTCCAGATCTAAAGATCGAGATGATCTGGTGTTTGAGCTCCAGTGCTTTCTTCTCGACGTCGGCGCCTGCTAGGATGTCATCGACGTAGGTATCGCGGCGAATGGTGGCGGCGCCCAGTGGAAAAGTTTCCTGTTCATCTTCGGCCAGCTGCGCAAGAAAGGGTCCAGAGCGAGAAAGGATCCCGTAGGTGACCGTGGTGAGCCGGAAGTCGCTAGCCGGATCATCAGGTTGTTGTCACCAAAGAATCCGCTGCCAATCCGCATCTGCCTGGTGAGTCCGGTTCTGCCGAAACATCTTCACGATGTCCGAGGTAAAAACTATCCGAAAAAGACGCCAACGGGTCAGAATCATCCAAAGATCCGATTGCAGCTTTGGACCTGGTGACAAGCAGTCGTTTAGAGAAATACCCTGAAGCTGTCCGGAAGGAGGCATTAAAGACAACGCGGAGCTTCGCTTTAGGGTCGTGTCGCTTGACCACCGCATGGTGCGGTAGATAGTAGGCGTCGCGGCGCATAGAAGAGTCCGGGACTGCCTCCATGTGCTGCAAGGTCAAGTTCTCGGACATAAATTGGGAATACTTGCTCCCCAAGGGTTCGTCCGATGCCAACCGACGCTCGCAGCTAACCAGCAGTTTTAGTGCTGAAGATCTGGAAGGCCTCAATGCAGAGACGAGATCGATTTTGAATGGTGGACACTATAACGGCCAGTGGAGACCCGGCTGTATGTATCCTGGAAATATCGCTCACAACACTCCTCCTCGGGTGACAAAGGGGGTTGACCCTGAAGCTCTTCCAACTCCCAGAAGCGCTGAAGCAGCTTATGTGTGACCTCTTCGGAATTGCAGTGAAAGGTGCGCATGATTTGACTGTCGGAGCTGATAGCGCTGGTGACGGGGCCCATTAGCACCCAACCAAAAGGCGTGTGTTTGGCCGTGGGGGTACCCTTGGGTCCAACACGAGAGCCGTCCTGAAACAGACCTCCACACACATTAGCACCTAAAATTAAGTCCACTCTAGCAGGTACTCCGTATTCAGGATCCGCGAGGGTGATGTGCTCTAGGTGCGGCCAATGCTTTCGCTGCACTTGGTGAACCGGCAGGAACGAAGTCAGCTTCTTGAGCACCAGGGCGCAGACCGGCAGACGGAAGTCCGGAGGCGTGGGAGGCTTGGCTGAAGCGGCGAAAATATTCACGTTGCCCTTCTTTTCTTCTCTAGTTCTAGGCGGTGTACTCTTGGTCGGTGCAGAGCGAAGTGTTGGGTCCGCGGTCTGTGCGGAGTCCAGCGCCTGGATGCGGTTTTCCAGCGAAGGGCGGAATCGCCCGGCTATTGGCCAGCGACGTCTCCCAAGCGAGGTGAGTTATCGAGTCCAACTTCTGACTGAGTAGATAGACGAACCACTCGTCCCACGAGGTCACTGGTTTCCTCAGTGCCGAATATACTCGTATCGCCTACCTGAAGGTGTCGAGCAGCCTTTTCAACTCCGTAGAGGACTCCTGCACCGCAGCTGGGCAGCAAAGGAGCGCCCGGTGGTGCGTGAAGGATTGAATTCGCATGCTGGCGTAGCGCAGCTCCAAATCGTCCCAGGCTCCTCGGTAACCTGCGCTCGTGATCGAGGTGTTTTGGATGACCTCGGTAGCCTCTCCGGTCAAGCTGGATTTGAGGTAGAGTAATTTTTTGACGTCCGGTAGCTGAGGAACGTCGTGTACAAGGCTCTTAAATAAGTCACGAAAGCTCTCCCACTGTAGCGGGTTCCATGAAAAAATCGGCAAGGGTATTTTAGGAAGCTGTGGCTGCACGGTGTCTGCTGGATTTGCCTGTTGTCCTCTCGAAGCGCTCACCGACGATCGCTCGGTGAGGCACTGTGCGATCATAGCCCCTGCTTGAAGGTAGGCCTTTTCTACCACGGAAAACACGTCCTGCTGGATGTAAGAGCTCACCGAGGCCTCCTTGCATCGCATTAATTGTCTATGACTCCGGAGGAAGGAATCCCAATATTGCTCTAAGAGAGTTCAGCGTTGCTCCAATACCGCCCACGTTATCTTCTCCTTTCCCAGCTTGTAAATGTTGGATCCAACCCGCGGGTTCCTCTTGTTCGCGGCGAAAGTCGTCAAAGGAAACCGAAGTCATAGTGACGTTTATTTCTCTTTTCAGATTACGAACAAAAGGTCTGAAGCCAGAAAATGTTTCCGTTGGAACCCGATGGTTAGAGTTCAAAAGGTCTCAGCGCAAGCGGAGTTGGCAAACAGAAGCCCGAGCGCGAGGCACGGGGGACCGGCATGGCGTCACTGCGCGGAACCGTTACGGACTACGTGGCACTTTCGGAGGGCGTAACGCTTGTACCCAACCGCGAAATAAAGAATATAATGACTTATCTTGTCCTTTGAAGAGCTTCCCCGTTTATTAAAGTCCAGGGTTGCCTGCTGCCTTTTGTAGCGGCGACGGGTTGCACTTTTCGTAGATGAATTGCAGCCTCCAGTTTGCGCGCAGAAAAAAGCACGTTCACCACTCATTCACGACGCAAAAAGGTAGTTCGTTCAGCAAAATCCGGCTCGAAGGACCAATGTTCGAGTGGTTTCGCCCTTTAACCTTGAAAGGGTTGGAAATCCGCCTCCAAGCTTTGCCGATTTGTCTCAAAGCCTACTTTACTAGTATGTGGGTGTCAAAGGTGTAAAGACAAAATCTAGATTTTAACAACTAGTGTTGGTCGTCCTTAGAAGGACTCAGAGTACCTCAGCTTTACAGCTTATACCTCTTTCAGACCGGGTTTCTACTTTCCATCGAAACCACCAACCGAATAACAAGCCGGAGAATGAGCGAGGGCGCCCGACCATACTTGAACCCCAACTTGGCGGTAAGGATTTTTGCTCTTGGACTTTTTCAATTTCTAGACGTTAGTAAGGATGGAACTAACGTCTGTGTGAAATTTCAGTCCGATAAAACCAGCAGCACGGCTTCCAGAGACGGATGTGGAGCGGTCGCCCATCTTCTTACGGAACGCCGCCCAGTGTCTAGATTTTAACACTTAATAAAGGTTTACTAAGGAACTTTGATTTTAAACGAAGTTCGCGGCTCGAAGCACTAAAGTTCTTCACACTACCGCAAGACTCTCTTGCTGAACTCTAGTTCCCCGCCGCCGCCCACCACCCCGTCACCCTCGTCACCTCGCTCCGACGGCCAACGGAGAGAGAGAGAGAGACAGCGAGATGGCAACGGTACAGACACCGAATTCAAAGGGAGCCTTTGAGGTGTCCTAAACGGTCTATCATGAACATAAGAAATGTTTAGAATGTAAGAATGTTCTAGAATATAAGAGTGACCTAAACGGTTTATCATGAACATAGAAAATGTTTAGAACATAAGAAGTTTAAACCGATGCGGTTGAATAGCTTTAAGGAATTTAATCGGTAAATCGTTAGAGAGAGATGGTTGCTCTAACACATGGATTAAAAAGGGGTAATATTAAACTTTGTAATAAATCCCCCTAAGAAGAGTTAGATATGGTTACGAAAGGAACTTATGTCAGAATTGTCGTTACTTGTGTCAGAATTGTCGTTACTTGTGATATGCGAAATAAAGTTGATACGCATAAACCAAAAGGTAATGAGGGATGAGTAATTGGAATGAGAACGTCCAATTAAGATGTTTTCAATCTCCCGGCAAATAGTACGAACCTAAGTCTAACGTAAAACGATTTCATGGAATGGAGTAACCACATAAAAGATCTTATATTCACTAAAATATAAGTAGGTAGCCAACCACAAGCTTTTATATGGAAGGATTGTTTAAGAAGCTAATTTCCAAAGTAATATCTGGGATATGCAGACGTAAACACTAATTTGGAAGGTAAAGTTGTGAATAGCAGTGAATATGTTATGGACCAGCAAAAAGCTAGGTATGAATGGAATTCCTTGGCGAAAGCTAAGGAAATCTTCATTTAAGCTACAAAAACGAATTTACCAAGCTTCTGAATGTAATGATATCAAAAAGATGCATAATCTTTAGAGATTATTACTCAAATCAACAAGTGCAAGAGTGCTCGCCGTTAAAAGAGTAACACAGGACAATAGAGGAAAAAAGACTGCAGGTATCGATGGAAAAATCAGTCTCAACCAAAGAGAAAGAATACAATTAGCAGTTTTAATGTTTTCAGTTCGGGAGAAGGCGGTGTCCAATAAATTGGTTCCTGTCTTTGGCAATAATCTGCAATAATTTTTGCATCAGTCTGGTCAATTTTTTGCCGTGTAAGTTTACTTCTTGCGTAGGATTTTGCGCAATAAGGATTTACAACACTAACAAAGTACCCAGCATTATGCAAGAATTCAGCCAGAGCTTCACCATAACAACCAGCAGACTCCATAGAAGCTTTCACTTGTTCTACATTATCCTTTTGTAAAAAGCTCAGTAGACCTTGAAACCCATTATCATTGTTCTTAAAACTCCTTTTTCTAGTTTCACGTTTTCCTTTTTTACTTATAAATGAGAGAAAGACATCAAAGCGATCTTTCGATACGTCTATGCATAAAAAGTTGTTGATCATATATAATCCCATACGTTACCATTAAAAACGAAAAGTAAGGCTAATCTTGTGCATACAGAATTAGAACCATTTAGGCCTTTCTACGATACTGTCCGTATTCGTTCAGAGGAGTGGCAAAAAAAAAAAAAAAAAAAATAGGTGACATAGAGTATTAAAGAAAAATACTAATAGGGTCATAGAGGTTTTAAGTCTATATGTTTAATCTTCTAACTAATCTTTTGGAACTTTGTAAAAATTTAGAGCAAAGAATAAAAGAACTAGAAATAGAGAATGCTGAGCTGAAAGAAAGGCTCGATTTAAATTTAAAAAATTCATTTCTGCCAAGCTCTAAAGAATTATACAAAATAAAAAAGGACAAGCCGAAGAGCGATAGGAATATAGGCAGTTAGGTTGGGCATAAAGGGAATTATCGTGCTAAGATGGATGCAGATGAAGTAGTAAAGATAGAGTTGTCATGTACTTGTGAATGTGGTGGAGAGATTGCAATATGTAAGAAACCGTATATTCACCAGAAAGTTGATCTGCCAAAAATTAAGCCGTATGTAGTAGAGTATCAGCTAGAGCATGGCTGTTGTCGAAGATGCTGAAAAAGAAGAAGTAGCAGATTACCAGAAGGTGTTACACTAGATACATTTGAGTCAAGGGTTAAGTCAATAATTGCAGCACTCAGCGGATTTTATAAAAATTCAAAGCGTGACGTGGCTAGCATCATAAATGACATTTTTAATTTGGACATAAGCGTTGGCAGCGTATCAAATAGTGAACATAGAGTTGTAACAAAATGTAAGGAAATGTATGAGAAAATAGAGCAAGAAGTAAGTACAAGTAAGGTTCTACATATTGATGAAACCAGCCAGTATAACAAAGGTAAACGTGGGTGGTGCTGGATGTTTGCAAGCAATATGGCAAGTTTAGTAAAGTTGACAGAGTCAAGAGGAATAAAATTAGCAGATTTTTTAATTATAAAAATTTGTTAATAACTGATAGGTACGCAGTTTACAATTATTTTTCTGATGAAAAAAGGCAAGTTTGTTGGGCGCATTTATTAAGAGATTTTGAAAGATTAGCGCATAGTTGGAACATGGAAGTAAAAGTTCTTGGCTATTATTTAAGAAATGTAGCGACTAAATTATTTGCACTAAAAAAAATTTTACTAAAAAATGAGGTAGATGCTTTAAAATTTGCCAGACGTGCCAGAAAATTGTAAAAGCGTACAAGGCATTACTTAAAAGGCATTCCGAAGTTAGGTAGGTAATTTTAGGCGAACCAATATCCTACTTACCTCCTTACCTCGCTTTAAACAGCAGTACTTTAGCTTTTCCTTGCTAAAATCTGTTAAACTTCGTGAAAGATGTAAAATAGAATGAAAACGATCATAATAACGCTTAGAAAAGCAGATTTGCAGTGGATCATGAACTTGTGCTGTGGCAATTTTAGAGGTAATACATGCAAACCAGAGTTTCTTCCAGAGATGGAAGGAACGCTTTTATTAGATCAAAGCCAATCGGTGGCGGGTGGCTCGCCGCTCGTCCATCGTTTGCTTTGGTGACTCTGAATAACTTTGTGCTGATAGCACCGGTCTTTTGTACCGGCGACGCATCTTTCAAATGTCTCCCTTATCAACTGTCGATGGTAGGTTTTGCGCCTACCATTGTTGTAACGGGTAACGGGGAATCAGGGTTCGATTCCGGAGAGGGAGCCTGAGAAACGGCTACTACATCCAAGGAAGGCAGCAGGCGCGCAGATTACCCACTCCCGGCACAGGGAGGTAGTGATGAAAAATAACGATACGGGACTCATCCGGTGCCCCGTAATCGGAATGAGCACATTTTAAATCCTTTAACGAGGACCAATTGGAGGGCAAGTCTGGTGTCAGCAGCCGCGGTAATTCCAGCTCCAATAGCGTATATTAAAGTTGTTGCGGTTAAAAAGCTCATAGTTGAATCTGTGTGTCACAGTGTCGGTCCACCGCTCGCGGTGTCTAATTGGCATTATGTGGTACGTCCTACCGGTGGACTCAGCTCTTCACGGGGCGGTCCTACCAGTTTCCCATCGCGGTGCTCTTGACTAAGTGTCGAGGTGGGCCGGTACGTTTACTTTGAACAAATTAGAGTGCTTAAAGCAGTTTACCTTCGCCTGAATATTCTGTGCATGGAATAATAAAGTATGACCTCGGTTCTATTTTGTTGATTTTCGGAACATGTAATGATGTAATGATGTAATGATTAATAGGGACAGATAGGGGCATTCGTATTGCGACGTTACAGGTGAAATTCTTGGATCGTCGCAAGACGGACAGAAGCGAAAGCATTTGCCAAAAATGTTTTCATTAATCAAGAACGAAAGTTAGAGGTTCGAAGGCGATCAGATACCGCCCTAGTTCTAATCATAAACGATGCCAGCTAGCGATCCGCCGAAGTTCCTCCGATGACTCGACGAGCAGCTTGCGGGAAACCAAAGCTTTTAGGTTCCGGGGGAAGTATGGTTGCGAAGCTGAAACTTAAAGGAATTGACGGAAGGGCACCACCAGGAGTGGAGCCTGCGGCTTAATTTGACTCAACACGGGAAACCTCACTAGGCCCAGACACTGGAAGGATTGACAGATTGATAGCTCTTTCTTGATTCGGTGGGTGGTGCCGTTCCTGCATGGCCGTTCGTGGTTTGAAGAGCGATTTGTCTGGTTAATTCCGATAACGAACGAGACTCTAGCCTGTTAAATAGACGTATCTTGTGATATCTCGAAGGCCCCCGACTTCGGTCGGTGGGTTTTTACTATCAATATACAAACAAATCTTCTTAGAGGGACAGGCGGCTTCTAGCCGCACGAAATTGAGCAGTAACAGGTCTGTGATGCCTTTAGATGTCCTGGGCCACACGCGCGCTACACTGCAGGAATCAGCGTGTTTTCCCTGGCCGAAAGACCCGGGTAACCCGTTGAACCTCCTTCGTGCTAGGGATTGGGGCTTGCAATTATTCCCCATGGACGAGGAATTCCCAGTAAGCGTGAGTCATAAGCTTGCGTTGATTACGTCCCTGCTCTTTGTACACACCGCTCGTCGCTACTACCGATTGAATGATTTAGTGAGGTCTTCGGATTGGTGCGCGGCTAATGTTTCGGCATTGCCGATGTTACCAGGAAGATGATCAAACTTGATCACTTAGAGGAAGTAAAAGTCGTAACAAGGTTTCCGTAAGTGAACCGGCGGAAGGATCATTACAAGTATAAAAAGATGTGTGTCTGAACGATAGTAAGAAGGGAGGATGTTTCTTCTGTGTTTCATCGCACAGGAGAAACGTCGCAAGTCTTGCGATTAGAAAGCGAGACTATAAGGAAACATACCCGTCATCGAAATAGTGACGTTGAAGGAGGAAAGATCCTTCTAATACTACAAGGGCCTGGCAAACCCTTGTAATAATTCGTTACCCCGTGAGGGAACGCAAACAGACGACCTTTCGGGCGTACTGTAAGAGAAAGTTTGAGTTGGGCGAAATGAGAATGAAGAGAACTGGGAATCCTCTTCGTTCAAAATTTTTTTTGTTCTTTTATACAGAAGCGACTAGAGTACTGGAAGCTGACAGACTCTAATTTCGATAACAATCGAAACACTACATCCTTTTGTAAAGTACAGAGGGGGAAACATTGACCCGAAGAGGAGTTGCGAACTCTTCGTTCAATGACGATATTTTGAAACTCAATCATCCATTTCGTATTCCATGGGCGAAATGGATGAAACAACACTTGGAGGGAAAGCATGGAGGAGGAATCCAAATAATTGGATGATCGATCAGAACTGTCGTTGCCTGCAAATCTTTGCAGAAAATCTGAAAATGAAGTGATATAGTAGCTATTCTACTAATGACTACTCGCGCCGCGGTACCGTTGGCTTATGTGCGGAGTCTCGTCTCCCGCCCACGACGCTGTGGCACGCGCCGAAACGAATCTTCGGGGTTCGAACGAAACGATCCACGTTTCATACCCCGAATAGTTTTCGCGCACTGTTCCCGGCATAAATGTCACTTCGTACAAAAGGTCGCGAGGTCGAACGAGGATTCGTTCTCATTCTCCGGCCCTTCGTACGTGAAAGCAATACGCCGCCCAGGACTTGTATGTTTTTAGCCCGTGATCATACGATCCCAATCGTATCCCAATCTCTATCGAACGCCGTCGACCGACGATGTGGATTCGTAACTTTTCGAATGTGGCATCCTCTTGCGCCGACAATCGAACGCTATAAAGAGATTGGGTGCGAAAGCTAACGGGCATATATATACGTGTGCGACTTCGTTTCGAAGGCCGCGAGGTTGAACGAGGATTCGTCCTCTTCCTCCGGCCCTTCGTGCGGAAAGCAATACGCCGTCAAGACTTTATGCGTTACAATCCCTGCGACCTCATCAAACGCCGTCGACCGACGATGGTCGTTCGGTACGAGTACGAGAGGAGATCCGGTTAAGAGACACGAAAGGAGGACGGAGTCGAACACCCGTTCCGCATGCAGACGGTTCTCATCTTCGTTGGTGGATACCGGGACGGAAGACCTCTCGTCGTGGCTACGCCGTGAGTCTTCCCTGCTCTACGAACGTGGAGTCCTCTCGCGTCGACAATCGAACGATTAACAGAGATCAGAGAATGAATAATAATATTATGTAATATACACACATTTGTGTATATGCGTTTCTACCAGAAGGCAGTGTTGTCGAACGATGATTCGTCCTCATCTTCCAGTCCTTGCATGGTTTTTTTTTATTGCTCTTTACGCCCGAGGAGCGTCGAACTTTTTGGTGTGTTCGGCGTTCTAAATTTTTGTGTCGTACTGTTATGCCGCAGCTCAAAAATCTGCGTATTCAAAATCTCAAAAATCTCAGTATTCCGTTCACAAAAGTAACTCTTTTATTCTGAAGATCAACTCTTAACAAAATCAATAAACTGAAGTTACAACTTTTAGGGAAAACTGACGCGCGGCGTGAAGATGGCCCTCCACCCATAGTGTAAGGAGTCGTGGAAATTCGTGTTT